TGGTAATCGGAGGTCCTGAGGGCTGTCCTCGTTAGAGCACCCGTGCTGCAGGGACATCCAGGATCCCTGCCGCTGTGTTGGGAAGGAGTGATGAGGGTGCTGTGTATGAAGAGTGAAGTTTGTCATAGTGGGAAAGGGTTTCTGGCTAGAACAAAATCTAAAGCGAGGTTAGAAGATCAAAAGGGCAGGTGATGCTTTAGGTTGGGCAATCAGACTGGCAAGCCTCACCGGGGAGGTGCCATCACCACAGAGACCTGAATGAAGCAAGGGAGCAAGGAAGGAGATGAGTCATGCATCCCATAGGCAGAGGAAGCAAGCTTAGCCTGTTTGAGGAGCCCGGAGGAGGAGAAGGGCCTGAGCAAAGTGTTCATGAGGGTAGGGGGAGGTAGGAGATGAGGTGCATGGTAAAGTCTATGGGGTTTTGTCTGAAAGTAATGGGACATGTGAGAAGGTCCCAAGTAGAAAGATGGCATGGTCTGATTTAACATAAAAGGGGTTTTCAGGGATCCTAGGAAGTGACGATGTATCCAATGGGTATTGGGAGGCTGGTAGGAGGGTAAATGTGAAAGCTCAATTGTTTAATGGACACTGAGGAGCATTGGCCCAGGAAACCAGCCTGGGAGGGAGACTCGGCTTCACGCGAGCAAAGTGAGGAGTCTAGTAGTGGGAAAAGGCAGGAAGCTTTTTGTTTGTTTGGGTTGTCATTGGTGTAGGGGAGGAGCGCCCAAGAATGTTGTTGTAGTTTGGTCTGTTGGGTGTTAGAAAATGCGGTGGGAGGTCTTAATGGGAGGATAGTCATCCGGGGCGGCGTGCTGTGTTCACCTGTCAGTAGCATCTGACGACAGTTCACCTTGTCAGAGTTCTTGGGCTGCCTCCAGTGCGCCATCGTTGTGGGGGTTCGTAATCAAGTAAACTGGGCAAGCTTTACATAAGAGGTTTCACACTGTAGGTATCATTTTGCAACTTGGTTTTTTTATTTAACATTATGTTTTTCAGACAAGCTAAAGGAAACCAAAATATCTCGCCCAAAAATAGACCTCTTTGGCATATTTGGGGGTGGTTATTCAGAGATACTGCAGACAGGAATAGGCCTGAAAAGCTGCCTTTTGTGGAGGAGATTTGCGTCTGTAGAGAAAATGTACATTAGTGAAATGGATAGCCAAGCTTTCTCTGAGCCCCTTCCCACCCTTGTCTAGGCCCAGGAAAGATTAACTCAAAGGAAAGAGACTAAGCCTCTGACATCTGTTGAAGGTCTGACAGAGAAACTTACCATACACTACTGTCTGTTCTTTCTGAAGGCTGCTACTGTGAGGTTTCATTTGCATAACAAGACCACCTTCCCTAGCCAGGCCTTTCCTTCTGTTTCTCTCCCATAACCTGCCTTGCCACTCTCCAAGGCCCTATTCTTTCTGTTACCTCTGGATGTTATAAAAAACTTCTGCCATCTTGGAGATTTCCTATTTTGTATAACTCCCTTGCATACATGATCACGTATTAAATTTGTTAGGTTTTTCCCTTGTTACCCCATCTTTTGTTATAGGAGTGACCATTTATGATGGGGAAGAAAGAGATCACCCCATTTCCATCCCAACACAACCAAGTTGATACATGTAACACTCTCATTCCATTGTATGGTATACCCTATTTTATACACCCATTCTTTTATTGGTGGACATTTAGGTGGTTTCCAATTTTGAGCTAGTCCAAGCATTGCTGCTGTGAATATACTTATACCTGCCTCTTTGCATACACATGCAAGAGTTTCTGTCTAGTGTATCCCTGGGATGGTAGTTGCTGGGGTGCACTTATCCACAACTTTGTACTTTAATCTTGGTTTTGTCCTTCAGGAATCTGATGTGAAACTTCAGTGACAGGAAGTTAAACCCAGCCATGCTTTACCCTTCTGAGTTTTCTTTTCTTTTCTGGATAATAATGGATAATAGTAACTACTTCTTAAAGTCACAAGAATTAAATGAGATCATGATTGTAAAGTACTTAAGACAGTATCTTACACATTATAGGCATTCAATACCTGGGAACTTTTTATGTCTTATAGACACAGGAAATTAAAAAAGTTAAAAATTCTGTGTCTTTGAAGTCTGACAGGACCTGGGTTTCGAACCTGCCTCTGCTACTTCTTCTCTGTCCTTTGGGAAATTCACTTTACCTTTCTGAGCCTTGTCTGTTTGACTAGAACAAATTAGTACAGTTGCAAATAACAGTTCTCTAAGTATTGTGAACTAAAATAAAATCTTAAGGCCCCAAGCTGACTGAATGGACCCCCTCTTGGCCAAGGGGACCCCAGAAATACCATAAAGCTGAGTTGCTGGCCATGAGAAGGAAGGCCAGACATGCCTTGTCACACCCTCCACCCTTCTTGGAAAGATCCTTTGTAACTCATTAACAAGCTTAAGGCTATCCAAGACAAAGCTTAAACCACACCAGCAGGTCCTCGATTTACTTAACAGATCACTTGAGTCTGGGTATATGTCCAGTGGCTTGTCTTTGATTGACAGACTTCCTCATCTTAACTTAAAACATTCCAAGCATTTATGTAACAGAGGTAAAGCTCTGAAAAAGGGTGATGAAGTTGTCTCTTTAAAACCCTCCACCCTTTTTGGGAATTAAAACCTCCATTCCTTCCCGAGGCCAGTAATCAAAGGGGCACACAAATGTTCTTTGCTGTTTGTTTTCTAATATCTTAAACCACAGATGGCTCAACAGAATTGTCACAAGATTGGAGTCAACAGAGATAAGATTCACTGAAACTATCACTTACAGTTGAACAACAATAGCCATGACACCAGTCAGATAGACCTGAGCCCAACCCCCAAAACCCCCCTTTAAAAAGTCCTGTTTTTCTGTTTAAAGGCGAGGTGGTGGTCTTTTGAGACGCTACTCTGCCATCCTCCTCATTTGCTGGCAAATTAATAAACATCTGTTTCCTTTTCCTCAAACCACTTGTCCTTGTTCTTCTTTGTTCTCACCGATTCGGCCTCTGGGACAAGTACAGGACTTTCGGTAACATTTAGACAAAGCTTCATTTCTTTAACCAATCACAAATCAAAGAATCTTTAAACCCTCCTATAACCTGTAAGCCTGCTTTGAGATGTCCTGCCTTTTCGGCCAAACCAGTGTTCACCTTCCATGTATTGATTCATGACTTTGCGTGTAATTCCTGTCTCCCCAAAATGTATAAAACCGAACTATAACTCCAACCATGGTGAGACCACTTGCTTAAGACTTCTTGGGTGTAGCTCTCTGGGCCATGGTCACACAAATTATTTTACAGAGTTTGGATTAATCATTTTCTAATTTTCCTTTTTGAAGTGGTTCTGAAGCTTTAATGCATCAGACTCACCCAGAGGGCTTGTTTAAACATGATGGCTGCACCACAACCCCCAGTTTCTGATACAGTAACTGTGGGGTGGGGCCCAAGAATTTGCATTTCTTGTAAGTTCCCAGGTGATCCTGATGCTACCAGTCCCAGGACCACACTTTGAGAACCGCTGCTTTATCTCAGAGATGCTCTTAACTTTTGTATGGTGACTCTTAGTCCTCCTAGGACTCTTTAGTCTTCCCCTAAAACCTCGCCACTCAAATGTCCCTTAAGGACCTGCCCCCTTCTTCCCCTACTCCATTTCCTATCATCCGATTTGTGGGTGCTCAGTCTTTGCTAAGCATTCTAGTTGATTGTGGCGTTTGACCAGTGTCCATTATTTTCTTCTCTGTAGGTCATCTCATTTATGAGTTTCCTCGCCTTTGTGTGTATTATTGTTAGTTAATTAGAAGCAAGACTGTAAGAGCATTTACATGTCTTATTCATCTAGTCTGTAAGCTCCTTGAAAGGAGGGACTAAGTTTAATTTCCCTTTCAGTCCACCTCCTTAATTAAGCGGCAGTCCGTGGCTTGCAAATCCAGTTGCTTGTAAAGGCCAAAAGGCAGTGGGAAAAAGTGAAGCTTGCCAGGTGGAAATTTACCTGGAAGTCACGTCCTAAGTAAAGAGGACAGATGCTACTTGGCTTTAAGCCCATCACAGATCCGTTGTTCTCCAGTTTTCCTATTTTACAAGAGAAACAAGAAATAATGCCAACTAATTCGGCATTTTAAGCACGTGGAGAAGGTCATACAGACGACATCTGCTGGAAGCAAAACTGAATCCATTCCATGTTGCAAGATCTTTGCCGTTAATGGGTGGATGGATGCATGGACGAGTGGGTAGGTGAGTGACTGAGCGAATCTGGGTCACTGCGGCAGCTCTCTGGTTGAAACTGGGGAAGTTGCAATATGGTATCTACTGTATGCCCGGCCCTGCGCAAGGGGCTTTACATGTTTATCTCGTTTGACCTTCGTAACAACACCACAAGGTAGTTATTATCATTCTCATTTATTTCCACACTCGTTTCACAGATAAAGAAGCAGAGGCTTAGAAAAGCCCAAGGTCACATTGCTGCTTTTCTTTATTTATAACCTACCCTAATTCCAAAACTAGGATTTCTTCCGGGCTGGCATGATTTAAGCCGGATCCTGAGCCTGGGATTCCAGGACAGCTCTGTTATATGAAATCGCCACCACAAACGGCGTCAGGGTTTCAGAAGGCAGGTGGCGGGAGGATACCAGTGGGTCGGCGAACAGATTTGATTTCTCGGACATCTTACTAAGCAACTCATAGCTTCATGCTCCTCGAGGATGCCAGCCAGTACTAAGGAGCTAGGACACAAGGGGGTCTCTTGCCACCTTGGTAAGTCCTCCTTTCTTCCTACTTACTCTCCTCTCAGAATTCAAGATTTCTGCCTACCAATCTTGGAGCTCATTCCATCTCAATTCCTTTCTAGGGCCCAATGGGATAGGGACAAAGACACGAATACAGGAGCTGTTTGGATGCAAAACATTTTATTGGAGTTATTGGACCAGGAAAGCATTATCGTAGGATGGGAGTCAGATCCCACGCCAGCCCCCTCTTCCAGCGGGGTCGGCAGTGCTGGCTCTTGAAGGGGCTGTCACTGGGCATCAGGAGTTGCACTCCTCAATCCTTTCAGCTGGAGGGAGAGGGGATATGGCAAGATTGGGGACCCCTGGGTGCTGGAGTCCCCACAAGAAAGCCCGGTACAGGACGGGGTGCTGACGGAAAGGAATTTCTGCCCCATCATAAGTGCCCATTCTCCTCTAAATTTAGCAGCTGAGATTTCCCTTTGCTTTGGCGAGAAGAAGGTTTATCTTCCTTTTACTGTCCCTACCCTCCTCCCGATCCTCTGCTTCTCCCCTCACCCCAACCTCTGTACCCCGCTAACGCCCACCGCCTCTTACCTTAGGAAAAGCATCCCAGTTGAGGAAAGGAAGTTTCCTTTTGATAGCCTAAAAACAAAAAGAGAGAGAGTGATGTGTCGTAAGGCAGGTGAGCGTGAATCAGGAAGCACACACTAAATGAGCACCCCTAGTGACCGTGGTGTTATTGTTCCCTAATTACAGTAAGAGCTAATATTTCCCGAAGACTTATTCTGTGTCTGCCTTGTCCTAATTGCTCTGCAGGCATGATTTCATTTGGTCTCTACAGCAACTTTTTGAGCTAGGTACCGTCCTCATCCCCACATCACAGATGAGGAAACTGAGGCTCAGACAACTGCAGACATTTGCATGAAGCCACATGGAAGGTAGGTGAAGAGTCATGAGATGCAAGCTCTATCCCAGCTCTGTCGCTGACTTAGCCGTCTACGTTTGGGTGGACCTCAGGTTTTTCAGAGAGGATGAGTTTCTTCATCGAGGATGGGGGAATTCAAATAAAATCTTCACTGATTAAGTTCTTCCTCTTCCGGAACTATCTTTGTGGCCCTGCTCTTCCACTGCTATCTTAGGAAAATAGGGTGTAGCCACACCAGGCTATCGGGGAAGCTTTCTTTGGTTGACAATACACTGGGCAGCATCCAGGAGGGCAGGGCAGCTGCTCCCTCCTAGAACTCAGGAGGGAACCAAAAGGCTTAAAACCAGAAAACTCTCGGCCAGGAGAGTAGGGGGCACCCAAGCACTCACCTCGAAGAGCGCGTGCCAGTTCAGGAATTCATCAGGCTTAAAAGCCTGTGGAGAAAGAGAGAGTCCAGAAACAGGTCAGGGGATGAGGAAGCTCAGCCCCTGGCCCTCTGGAAAAGGTGGGGGGGCCGTGGCAGCTCTGCAAGCTCTACCAGGGCGTCCATGCCCTCTACGATGCGGATACCGTGGGGGCAGCACTAGAAAACTGTACTTACAGATCGCAACTTGTCAATGTTCAAGAACTGAGGGTTAAAGGCCTAGGCGAAAAAGCACGGTGTTAGGAAAGTTGCTAAGGAGCACGAGGAGACAGGGGACGCACTCGTGGCCGGAGTGCGTGGGGGGACAGATGGCTCACCTCGGATCCCGCCACGTAGTTGCCGATGGTGGTTTCTTCCTGGAAAGTGAGAGGGAAAATAGAAAGCAAATGATCACACGGTGGCAGGTCCCTCCCTGCCGGCGTCTGCCAGTGCCTGAGAGAATACAGCCCATTCTCCACCGCGGGGCCAGGAGTGTTAACGCTCTCCGTTCCGGTCGTGCACGTGCTTGGCAGATACACGAGGTGAGGAGCAGGAGTGGAAAAAGGCGGAAGTTCGAATCTCAGGCCCGCATCTACCGGGGCAGCAGGTGGAAAGGGCGGAGCAAAGAGGGCTCCTCCCAGGAGAAACCAGCTGGCGGTGCTCCGCGGTTGAGTCGGGGCGTTGCGGAGACACCCATGCTCGGCCCCATAGCTGGGTGGGGAAGGCCAGCGTGCAGAGGGGAGCCATGCTGCTGAGGCGACCTGGTTTGCTTTGTCCCGTTATTGCCACCAGCGTTAGAGTCTCCCTTTCCCTCTTCCCTTCAGTGACACCCCCAGGCCACAGTGCATCCCATCTTGTCGGCTCCCTTCTTCCTCTCTCCCCCCAAACAGAGGTCTCGAACACCAGCCCACAGCCTAGACCCAAATGTCTGCATCTCATAGCAGTGTGGCTTGCTTGTTTTTGAATTTGGATTAAACATTTCAAATCAGTAAGAATTCATAAATAAATCCAGATTTCCAGTTTCTCCTGAAATTTTTAAGACTGAACACTGGGCGCGTTTTCCCCTCTGCAGCAGAGGAGTGAGGACTGCCCCCTTTTAGGTTGGGGCACCCCTGCTCCCTGACACCACTGGCTTGGACCCTCAGCAGCTGAGTCTGTGACCCCCGCCTTAGACTTTTAAATCCAGAATGGACAGCAGTATTCCTCTCTAGCCGGGGCTGGGTCACAAGAATTCTGGATCGTAGATGAGGCTGAGCCCAGACGACCCACCTCAGTCTTCGTCTCCTCCCGGGATTTAGTAAACTAGCCCCCCCACCATGCTTCCATCCCGTCCGGAAACATAAGCGTCTCTGTTCCTCCCTTCCTCAGAGCCCCGGCTTCCCTACAGCCCCTGCCAACATCCGGAAATCAGAGCCACTTACCCGGTAACGGACAGCAGGTAAAGAAATTGAGGGGTTGGTGGATCATAGGTATAAGAAAAACCCGCAGGTGCTGTGCTCACCTCAGAACCCCCCAGGGCGGCCCCCCAGGCGGAGTGCAGAGCCAGAAGAGAGAGGAGAGCCACTGCGGGAAGAACTGGGATCTTCATGGTGTCAGGTTTGGGGTGCTCTGAGGCGGGGCCTCCCTGCTTGCTCTTTATATTCCCAAGCAGAAATGAGGTCCCCGCCCCACTGACTCACCCCCAGATTCTGTCACCCACCCCCGGGGCTCTGGGAGGGGGAGGCAGGGACTGTTCCCCATCTACCTCGGATTTCTCAATTCACGTCCTGCCCCAGGCACTTGGAAGGTGAGGCAGCAATGGGTCTCTTCATGACAATGGCCGGGATGGAGACAGGTCCGACCTGTCCCTCCGAGGGATTGGCGGTGGCGCTCAGGCAACCTCTCCTTTTGTCTTCGTCTCTTTCCCTCCATCCCTCCTTCCTCTCTTATAATTCAAGCTTTTTTTTTTTTTTTTCTGCCAAGTTCTATGTGAACTCCTTAGACTGTCATCGAAGGCCTTCCGTGCCCTGCCCTCAACCTGCCTTGTTAACAATCTCATCCTTCACTAGCTTTGTACGTACCTCGCATTCTAGCCAAACTGAGCTCCTTTCCAGATAGACCCTTCTTTTTCCATCCTCCAAGCCTCCAGCCATGCCGCTCCTTATTCCTAAAATGTCCTACTCTCTCCTGCAGTTCTCAGATCCCAGTCCCTCTTGGTGAAGCTTCCCTGACTTGTCCCACCGTCCCCGATCCCCCCACACACACACCGCTTTCCCTTCCCAGAATTGCCATATCAATTCGTTTGTGTCTCTGGCGTTGCACCTGGAGTCATTTATGATCTTCTCTTGTTTCCCATTTAGAATACTAAATTCCTTGAGGTCAGGAACTTTATCATGATCAGCCTGGTATTCCCCATGCCTTACGCAGAACATGCATGAAGTCGGCATTTATTAGGTTGCATTGTCAGAATTAATATTCAGGCACCCTTCTGCCAAGGCATACACTTTCCTCCCTCGTGGCTGGCCGCCGCCACTTATCCAGCTGCCCATCTTTTGCTCTTGGATCTTCGCAGAGGTGACTGTCGTGAGCTAAGAAGACAGGGAAGAGAGAAGCACAGAAAAGCAAAAAGCAGGTCTCAGGGACACCCGGTTGGAGACGGGATCTAGGTGTCCTGAACTCGGAGTGCCTACCCCGTTTCGTTGAGCTCACCCCACCCTACCCTGGGCTTAGAAGTTGGATCATCTCAAAGTGACAAAACATCCTAATCAAGCAGCCTTCTCCACAATGAAGTTCAGGTGGTCCAACCGGTTCCTGGTGTAACAGGGAGGTGCTGGGACACGAGGGGCGCTGGCAGGGCAAGCCGGGGCCTTATCGGCGAGTGGGCCTGCTCACCCGGGCCTGATGCAACACACACGGATGGCAGGCCGAGGGCGGGAGAGCTAATGTCATTCGCGAACAGTCTTCATGAACCCAGAAGTTCAATGCTCACCCTGCCCGTACACCTCTTTAGCTGCAGGAAGCCTCCCCTGATTCTGTCATGGCAGCTTCCCCTCTGCAGAGCCCCCCGAGGAGACAGTGCTTGAGGAGCACTAGCCTAGCACAGATGGCCATGCGGCAGTGGATGTCACGTTCGGTTGGTGCTACCAGAGGGAATGAGTTAGAGAACGATGCAGGTGGGTGGGGCTCCTCCCGAAAGGTTTTCTGGAGGACACAAGTTTTTGTGTGTGACGAATTCTTGCTAATTAGTGAACAGTGGCCGAAAAAGCTCATCGACCACCGTTCTGTCAGCACACGGTCAACTCCAGGAGCGGAAGGAAGGAAGAATCAGATAAAAAAGAGCTGCGGTTGTGCGATCGCTACAATCAGGTGTGCTGGCGGAGGGACCCAGTGTCAGTTTGGCCACGGGTCATCCCAAACAGCGGGCGGTCCGAACACCATCTTCTGTTTGGCTCTAGAATCTAGTCTGTCATTGCTCTGTGGCAACCAATTGCCCTCGCTGTGTTTTCCTCTCCACCTAATGGTGCTAATAATAGCGTCAGCCGTTTATTGAGGGCGCACTGTGGGCCGGCCTTGTGCTAAGTGCTCCGAATACGTGATCTCATTGAAATGTCGCAGTGATTCTGTGAAGTGGGTACTGTAATTAGCCACATTCTGGGCAGGGGAGCCACAGCATAGAGAGGTTGAATAACTTACACCAGGTCACACGGCCAGCGTGGGTCAGGGCCAGCGTTAGAACCTGGGCTTCCAAATCCTCGGCCCAACTGCACCTTTGCTATACTGTGGAGTAGTGTCCCACAAAGGGCGTGGCCAGCCCGTGTGGCACCTTGTGTGAGTTAGACCCATGCCCTGAGAGAGGAGTCAGGGTGCATGGAACCCCCACTAGCACCCTTTACCGCGTGTCCTTTTGTGGTGCACAACCTGCACAACTGTACGTGGCAGCTCTGAGCATTCGGGCATGGATTTCAATGAATTGAACTTCACATTCTTTTTTTTTTTTTTTTTTTTTGAGACAGAGTCTCACTGTGTTGCCCGGGCTAGAGTGCCATGGCGTCAGCCTAGCTCACAGCAACCTCAAACTCCTGGGCTCAAGCGATCCTTCTGCCTCAGCCTCCCCAGTAGCTGGGACTACAGGCATGCGCCACCATGCCCGGCTAATTTTTTCTATGTATTTTTAGTTGTCCAATTAATTTCTTTCTATTTTTAGTAGAGACGGGGTCTCGCTCTTGCTCAGGCTGGTTTCGAACTCCTGAGCTCAAACAATCCACCCGCCTCGGCCTCCCAGAGAGCTAGGATTACAGGCGTGAGCCACCGCACCTGGCCTTGAACTTCACATTCTTGGGCAGAATGAAAACAGAGAACTAAGAGGCTAATAGCATTCAGCGAGTATCCCAATATGAGCCTGCAATTGTATCAGTTTCCAGATGCTTCTAACAGTATGAGCATCTTGACATATACCAAGTATGTGTTTAAAGGATAGTGTTCTAGTTCTGGTTCTAGTGTTTAAAGTTCTAGATTTTAAAGACAGATACTTTTGTATAATGCCTCCAAACACAATGCTCCAACTACTTCCTGTGCTCAACCAAAGAAATTCTTGTTCCTATGCTGAAAAAAAAACTGGCTGCATTGGGCTTAGGATTTGTTTCCATTTGGCACCTTCCCGATAGATGTTTCCAGGGTAATTCCATCTTTACGTGACTTTGCTGTAAGTGCTAGCTTTAGAATCCAGCGTCTCTCTGCAAGCTCCTCCCGTGTCCCCCATCTACACCGCCTCAGCGAGTTTGTGTTCCCTGAGCATCCGATGTTCAGTGCTGGCCAGGTGGGGGCAGGGAGGGTCTAGGGGTTCTCTCTGGGAGAGGATCCCAGCAGTTCAGATCATGGGTGGCAGGAAAACCCACCCGGGGTTTTTCAGCTCCACTTTAGAGGAATCACACAGGGTTAGTGGAGTCGGGCAGAGTGACAGAGTCTGACTCCGCAGTGCCCCATCCCCGGGTCTGGTTGAGTTCCTACTTCCCGCTAGCAAATACCAGTGAACCCCTGTTTTCCCACAGGCCTGCCCCCACCCCAACCCAGATGTGCCAGCACTTGAGTGGAGTGTGGGTAGGAGGTGAGGCACAGCCCTGATTACTACATTGCAAGACACACCTAGGGGCTGAGAGCCAGCCTCCTGGGTTCCAGGAGGGAATGCGGGATTTGGAGGGAGAGACCCTGCTTCCTCAGGGCCGTGTGAACACCTAGGTGAAAAGCCTGAAATCCTTGGCGAGAAACGGGGCTGGGGTGGGGGCTATTAGGAGGCCGAGCTCATGGCGGCCCCCTCCCATCCCTTCCTCCCTCTGCCAATGTTATCACCACACCCAAGAAAGCAGCCTCGTTCACCAGCAGGTCTGGTTCTTCCCTGGCCGCCCACCCTGTGAGCCCTTTGCTTACACTTCTCCCAGGAAGACTTCCTGGATTGGGCCCACTTAATTCCGATCCCCTTGTCCATTCCCTAATGCGTAAATATTTGTCAAGTGACCACTTTGGCTCTCGGTGCTGGGAATTCAGGACGGACAAAGTACCTGCCCTAAGGAGTTTATGTTCCGGTGGAGGAGATAGATCCCAATCTAACGAAAAATAAATAAGCAAACGAGATAACTTCCGAGAATGACAGTGCCGTGAAGAAAACAAGGCGACGTGCTAATGACCGGGCATCCTTGGTTAAGATGGCTTCGGGAGGGACATTTGAAGCCAGACCTGAAGCAGCAGGAGCCCCGGGCTTCTGGAGATCTTGGGGCCCAGGGGCAGGAAACAGCAGCCGTGTGGCCCAGGATGACTCTGGGGAGGGAGGCCAGAGCCAGACCACCGCGGTGCAGAGCGCGGATTTTACTCCAGGGCCGACCAAAAGTTTGTTCTGGGGGAATCCTCTCGCTGTTTGGGGAGAATGAGTTATCAGGAAAGAAAATGAAAGCTGGGACTCGAGGAGGTCACTGGAGAGTCCCCCGCAGGAGAGATGGGCGGCCTGCCCTTGACGGGAGGGTCCCTTGTGCCAGAGGACCTTAGCCTGCGGCAGGTGTTACTTTAAACTTGAAGGGGCCGCTTTCAGCCTTTGGGCCAGGAAAGCCCCCAAAATCCAGAATCATTTGACCACATCCAGGTCTCGCTCGACCCCTCGGGGACTGGCCCGAGGAGAGCCGAGTTCCCGGCTATGTCCCATCCCTCCCCACGCGCCAGGAAGGCTTGTCGCAGTGCGGATCGAGCATCCTCTCAGGGACAGCCCCGCGTCCTCCTCCCCGTGGCCACCAGGAGGTACTGCAAGGCCCCGGTGCGGCGTGGAGCCGGGGGTGGTGAATACAGCCCAGCACCACCGCGTGAGGACCAAGGTGAGGAGGGGAGGCAGAGGGAAGGGGTCGTTCTGCTCTTTCTCCCACCCTGGCGTTTCGATCACGTTGGCTTCTCGGGTCAGTTTTGGGCCTGGTTCCTTTCATTGATTCCCCAGCTGTTTGAAGCCCTGTGCCAGGTCCTGTGCCCAGCCCAGGGACGGAGCAAGGGCCAAGGCAGCCAGGGGCCATGACCTAGAGAACTCGCAACCTGGGCAGAAGTCACTCCGGCTGGCCCAGTGCTTCCTGTCCTCCTTTTACTTCCGGGTCCTCTGCAGGGGTGTCGGGGGACACAGTGGGAGTGGGGGACTCCTTAATCTGGGCACACTGTGCCAGCTTGATGGGACTTAGGGACTCCAACTGCAGACTCCGGCCCTGTCGCAGGGGCTCCTCAGCCTGCTCCTGGCACACGAGGGGTCGAAGTGTTCCGCCTTCCTCCCTCTGCGTTCTGGAAGCACAGAGCAGCTGCCTAGGATGAGGTCCTGGGCTTGACCCAGTCCCCCACCTTCCTAAGCACGTCAAGCCAGCAGCAGCTTTCACCCCACTTCAGTCTGCTCACGTGGCGGGCACCATGTCCCCCAGCCCCTGCTCCCGGGCGCTGCCCTCTCCCCGACCCCCTGGGACTGGGCTCCCCGCTTTGAACACCTCTTCACTCCGACCTCCTCATCTGAATAGCTCCACTGTTGTTTTTCAGATACCAGAACACCTGTGATTGCCTCAAGCGCAGTACGCATGGTATTCAGACGTAGGCTGGGCAAAGATTCCTTTTTACAGATGGGGAAACTGAGGCACGGTGAGATGAGCTAGCTGCTTCTTGTCCAGAAGAAAACCCAGGTCTTGTCTCCCTCCGCCTACCATGTTTTATACCACTCCCAGGAGGAAGATAAATTATCTGCCCCTAAATCACTCCTCCATCCTCCCTGATCCAGGCCATCTATGTAGCATTAAAGAATAAAATTCGAGAAAGCCTTAGGGAAACGAGAGTCATGTTTTATTTCCACAGAGAAACTCAAAAATAGGAAGCTCCACCCAAAGAGCCATCAGTGACTTTGGATCACAAGACGGAGCGGGTAGGAAGGGGCTGGTTTATCCGGAGGCTGTGGTCGCGGGAACACCGCAGCGGAGTGGGAGGAAACAAAGGGCAGACAGACCAGGTCCCCAACCCAGAACGTGGAGGTGTCACCACCCAGCCCAGGGCTGGCAGGGGTGGGGGGGCTGGGGAGACCCAGTCAGTCTCCTGACGACCAGTGTTTTCAGGCCTCAGTCGTGACGGGAAATAGTTTTCTAGAAGAAGCACAAGATCCAACGATAGAATGTGGCCACTCCTTGATCTGCTGGAACCAAATGTCCTTTCGCGCAGCCTCTGGGCTCCCGCGGTCCTTTGCTGTCCTGGCTGTTCACCTGCCTCACCCCTCACTCGTGCTTCTCCCAAAACCAACTGTGTGACTCTGCCAAGCCAATCTACTCCCTCCTGCCCTCGGGGGCCTGGCTTTGCCCTGCCCCCGAACCTTTCCGCCCGAAAGGTTCCACGTTGCTCCCGTACAATCTTACCCGGCTCCCTGTCCCCAAGCTAGAATGCCACCTTCTTCTCAGAGCGTGCCCGGTGGCCCCACCCCATTCCGTGCTTTGTTCAGAACAAACAGGGTGCTTTCCAAGTGTCCCAGGTCACTTTCTTACGAGTCTGTCTCCACACCCCACCATGGGGTCTCCTCCTTCTTAATTCCTTAGCATCCACCCAGAGCAAGCCGGACTTCCTGACGCTGCTGACTGAGGTCTGAGGAAGGGCCAAGATCCAGGCCCTGCCCCGAGGGGTGACTATGTCCCAGCTGCTGTCCCACAGCCTTGTGTGGCTCCCTGTGACACTCACCTACCAAAACTTCAACCAGTGCAGCAGGCTGGGTTGCGCCCGGGAAGCCTGCAGGACAAGGAGAGTGTCTGAGGGGACATCACACTGTCCTTTCCTCACCCTCTGGCCTCAGGCCCCTTCGTTCTCGAGCCAGACTTTCTTGGGGCCCCCATACTCACCGAGGAAGAAGCCGTGACTCCTCCCTGGAAAGAGAAGATCAGAGGAGGTGACATGGTGTTCTAGTGGCCTCCCTGCACTCCGTCGTGGCCCCGGGGCTCACAAAGGGCCCAGTGGCAGGGGCAGGCTCAAGCCAGGATGAGTGCCAAGGCCATTCAGTTTATGGGATGTGTTGCATAATAGCAGATTTATCGTCCTACGTGCATTTTAGCCAAGACGACATTGAATGTGGTCCCCAAGCACACTGATCCAGAGACGTCGAAAGAGGCTAGGTCTCCCTCTGCCTGGTAGGCGGACAGACTGGCCACAGGGACTGGCGCAGTGGACACCCACCGGGAGGTTTAACTAACTGCATCGCCGCCTCCTTTCAGGCAGCTTAGAGTTTCTGCTCTCTCCATAGAAGGTCCTCTCCCCACGGGCGGGGGCTCTGTTACTCTGATGGAGGGAAAGACCCAACTACTTTTTCTTTAACAGCTTATTTAGTATTTAGCATGTTCGTTTACTGACATTGTGAGATTGCTTTCTTTGCAACTGAGTGAGACAAAATTCTCAAGTGTGTTTTTCCATTTATTTCCTTTGTGAAATGAGGCATTCATTTTGCCACCGAGCCTGGCTTCTCCTGAGTCCTAGCTTGCTTTCCTCCCCCTAACCCCACCTCCCAAAAAGGCCAGCAGAGAGCGAACGCTACAAAGAAGGGCTGTTCGTGTGTTTTGCCTTGTGTCGTGTGATTTTTAGAGCCACATTCTCCTCTTTGGGAGGGCACTGGTGCCCAGTCTTCCCTCTTGCACGGGATGGCAGCTGCTGTCCCTTGCAGACTTTCCTGAGCGAGCGAGTGAGTTCGGGCAGAGCACCGAACCCTCCAGCCTCCGGCCCGGGCTGCTCTCGGGAACCCGAGTCTCCCTTACAAAGGCTCGGGGAGGCCTGACTTCCAGAGTGGGCGGATTCGGCCTCAGCCCACCAACACAGAGGACCCTGGCTACAAAAGCCTCTCCCTCTCCCCTTGAGGAGACCCCAGTGGGAAACAGGCAGTGGCCTGTCTTACCTTAGCAGGGACCTTGGCCGTGTACTGCCACCCATAGCCAGTGGGATAGGCCTGCTGGTTGTGATTGTAGTTCTGTGGGAGAAAGAGTGGGAGGGGCCGTGGAAGGGAGGAAGGGAAGAGATGAAGTCATTTTGCTCTGCAGTAAACACCCCACCTTCCTGCCCTGTCTGGACCTTTCTTAAAGCCCCTGCCCTCTCCCCTCCTCGTGTCACGTGTTTTCGTTTCTTTCTTTCTTTTTTAAAAAATGTTATTACAGATGGGGGTTTACTAAGTTGCCCAGGCTGGTCTCCAACTCCTGGCCTCAAGCGATCCTCCTGCCTTGGCCTCCGAGTAGCTGGCACTACAGGCGTGCGCCACCGCAACCATGTGTTTTCTTTTATAGAATCTCCTCCAGCCAGCCAGAGCCCACATCCTCACGTCCTGTATTGTCACAGCCCAGAGGGCCGGCCTCCTCCTTGCCTTGGGACCTCTCCCAACTCCCAGGCGTCACTTGGGAGGTGAGGGTGGGAGACCAAGGAAAGAAGGACCAGGACCTAAACCAGGTGCTCGGGTGGCAGATATCTTACCTTAGAAGCTGACGCATCTTGCCATCCTCCGCCAGGCTGACAAATTATTGAAAGAGTGAAAGAGAATTTCAGATTGGCCGGACCCAGGAGCAAGGCTGAGAGGGACCAGGGGCCTTCCAGGGGATTCTGAGGGCAAAACGACTCACCTGATCAGCACCACCTGCCCTCTTCTGTAGCGACGACGACGCATCTGCACCCTGAAAGGAGACAGGAGCCACGGTGAGTGTCTCCTTGGTTCAGGCCTCGCCAGACTTCCCGAGCTCCGGCGTCCGCTGCCCAGGCCCGGCCCTCCCTGTGGAGCCCCAGAGTCTCCCCCACCCCAGGCCCAGGATAAGCCCTGCCTACGGTGAGGGCCGTGAGCCCAGAGGAAACCGATGGCCCAGATAGATACAGGACACAGATTTCCACACTCAGGGCTGGGGAGCAGGGGAGAGAACCAGGTTTGGCAACGCCGTCCCCGCCCATGCACCCGGAGCGTTGGCGGCTGCGGCCTGAGACTCGGCTGGAACAACAAGGGAGTTGGAGCCACACGGGCTCCGGGGACAGACGCAGGCACCTCAGCCCCCGCCCCGCTCTCGCCCGCACCAAACCCTTCTGCCTCCCTCCCAGGCCCCTGAATCCCTGCACGTGAACGCCGTGCTCTGCAGGGCCCCAGGAAGGAGGGGCTGTTACCAGAAGCTACTTGATTAGGTTGGCCCTGGGTTAAAGGAGGGAAAGGAGGAGAAGCACAAGAAAGCGGATGAAGCCACTTCCGGCACTCGCGGGCACTCGTGTATATACGCATGGCGCCCCAGCCAAGAAAGGAGAGAAACTCTAAGCATTTGGAAAGGAGTCTAGTTCGGGCCACCATGGCTCCTCTGCTAGGACACTAGGACTCCACACACACACACACACACACAGAGTTAAATCCTAACTCTGACTTAACTCTCTGCCTTACCCACACCTGACGCTGAACCTAAACCCCAAACCCCACTATTAGCCCTAATAGTGACATCACGAACTGGTTGTCCCGAGGCCTCCAGACATTTTTTTGCTTGATTTTTTTTTTTTTTGAGACAGAGTCTCTCTCTCTCTCTCTCTCTCTCTCTCTCTCTCTGTCACCCTGGCTGGAGTGCAGTGGCATCATCACAGCTCGCTGCAACCTCAAACTCCTGGGCTCAAGCGATCCTCCGGCCTAGGCCTCCCAGAATGCTAGGATTACAGGCATGAGCCACCGTTCCCAGCCTTGGTGTACATTTTTAAAAATTAAATTAGTTATAAACAATTAAAAATCAGATTTCTAGCTTTTCTTGGAAAGTCATCCAGCACAGCCACATTGGTTCTATGAAGGTGCATGACGACCCTCAGCTGGGGGCCTTGACCTCCCCCTTCGCGTGGCCCCACCTGTCCAGCCTTGTGTACTTGGCGCACACAGGCACGTGGGCCCACGGGTCTTGTTTCCCAAAGGCCACTGACCCCCTGCCATACTGCCCTCCTGTTTCCTTTCAGCTTTCCTCCCCCGTGCACCCCTTCCAGCACCAGAGGTGGACCCCAGCCCAGGTCCCTCCCCCTGGTCTCCTCCCCCTGGTCACCCTCCACCTGCCCCCCCTGCAGTACCCACCCAGCCGTGGCTGCCCCCGAGCCAGACCAAGCCCAGCAGAAACAGCAGCAGAGCGGAGGCCGTGGCCAGCTTCATGTCTCTGCACCTGTGGAGGCCCCAACCCTCGGGCCTCCGCTTTTATCCTAAGGAGGACCTCCCATCCTACTCCTCCGTGACTCATCGCTTCTCTCTCCCACCCCACCCCGCGCTCGAGATCCCGTAAAGCGAGGAAAGTGGGAAGGGAGGGAGGCGCCGTCCTCAGCAGGGAGGGTAAGAAACTAGGACAGAAACCTGGGCAAGCCGCTCGTCTAGGGCCCCGAACCCCGTGTCCCAGAGCTGGGGCTCCTCGCTACAAAGCGAGAAGGTCTGTCCCCCTTACCTCAACAATTGTTTTCCAGTTGAAGAAAGGAGTGTTGCTTTTGAAATCCTGGAGGGAGAAGGAGAGTTGAGTGGGCCCAGGGGAGGCAGAACTGGGCTGGTGCGTGGCAGCCCCCTGGGGAGGTTTCCAGATCAGAAGGAGGAGCGGGGTTGAGAGCCGGGGTGTGGTTCGGGGTGGGAGGAAGATGAGCATGGGAGACTGAGCGTTCGAATTGGAGAGGGTGTTGGTGCTAAGACTTGGGCAAGATGATACCCGTCTCAAAAATGGAAGCGGGGAGCCGGGCGCGGTGGCTCACGCCTGTAATCCCAGCACTCTGGGAGGCCGAGGCGGGCGGATTGTTTGAGCTCAGGAGTTCGAGACCAGCCTGAGCAAGAGTGAGACCCCCGTCTCTACTAAAAATAGAAAGAAATTACTTGGACAGCTAAAAATACATAGAAAAAATTAGCTGGGCATGGTGGTGCATGCCTGTAGTCCCAGCTACCCGGGAGGCTGAGGCAGGAGGATCGCTTGAGCCCAGGAGTTTGAGGTTGCTGTGAGCTAGGCTGACGCCACGGCACTCTAGCCCGGACAACACAGTGAGACTCTGTCTCATAAAAAAAAAAAAAAAAAATGAAAGAGGGGCTGCCTTGGGGGAGGTGTGGGAAGAGACAGGATGCCCAGGATCCCCGGGTCTTCAAAAGAGGCTTCTCCTACCTCCCAGAGCCGGCGGAAGTAGAGGAGGGCTCTCGTGCTGGGGGGCGGCATTTGGCTCTGCGGATGAAAGCAGGGGAGCAGGTTAGCAGGGGGCCTGAGCCGCTCACCTGGCCCTACTCCTTCTGCTGCCTCTTCTCAGCCTGCAGAATTCCCTTGTGACTAAGGTGGGGAGCGAGGGGAGCTGGGAGTCTTCAGGGACCCCAGAAAATTCTTTTTGGAAACAGGAGGAAGAAGCAGGATCTCTGGAGCCTTAGCCAGCCCACCCTCCCTCTCCCTGCATGTGCATACAGAGTTCTCCATCTGTCGGCCTCTGGCAGAACTTAACTGTAGCAAAACCCCAGGACCAGGACCTGCCCGGCGTGTGCCCTGTCCACCTGCCATGCAACCTGGAGCCCACGTCCCACAGCTGTGGGGCTGAAGCCGCCCCTTCCAACCCCCGCCCCCTCCACCCCAGAACAACGGTGGAGACATAAGAAAGGAGCAGAGACCAGGAGTGTGGGGCAGCTAAGGTTTATTTCGAGGGCAGGGGTGGAGATTAATGATGAGATAGTGGTGTTTTTAAGAAGGGAATTGGGGGCTCCCATCCATCTGGTAGCTCCGTGTCTGGAGGTCACGGGATGCGAGAGCTCCTCTGGTCCTGGGCAAAGAAATAGGATCTAAGAGGGAGCTTGAGGGTAGGAATTCAGGGGCGTAGTGGGCCAGGGCAGGGGTAGATGGGCCTCTGCTCCATCAGTCCGCAGGGACCTTTTTGCCCAAAACTGTCACCCGTACAAATCCAGCTATCCCAGCCTGGGCTTGAGAACCTCCTGCCTCGCCAGGAACGTTACACAGAGCCCCCCTGTCCTCACTCCTCACTCTGGCTGAGGTCCTGAGCTCCTTCACCCCCCGTGAAGGAAAATTGGGTTCCATTCTCTTCTCTGCCCTCCTCTGTCCTGCCCCTGTCTCTGGGGATCTGTCCCCGAGGAAGCCGGCCCGGGCGAATCCTGCCCCTAGAGGAGCAGGAACGTCCGCCGTCTGTCCCAGCTCTCTGGCAAGCGTCTGCACGTGCCCCGGTTCTCCCTCCAGAACCCGCGGTCCCCGTGGTCCAGTGAACAGTCTTGCTCCTACCAGAAACTACTCTCCATAAAACAGAGAACGTATTTTGTTCGTGCAAACCGAGACCCACTGCAGCTGAGAACGTCTCTGTCTTTCTCTCCCCACCTCATTCCCCATAGGTCAGACTTTGATTTTCCTGAGCACGAGTTTTGTGACGGCAGGATCCAGGTCTCCCTTTCTTCTATATTAAAGGTCAGAGACTCCACTGCTCACAGGGGCCGGTCGAGTGGCCGAGATGACCGTGTCAGGCAGGGCGGTTTGGCCGCCGGAGAGCACGCCCCACGGCAGAAGCAGCTCCTCAGCTCTAGCCGATCGCTGCCCCCGGAAAGGGCGTCCGCTCTTGCCCGATGTTTCAAAAAAACCCAAAAATCCCGATCGTTATGTGAAGGCTCTCAATTTCTAAACTTTGGCAACTAATTCATATTATTAAAAAAAGAGTGGCTCAAGACATATCTTCGAGCCACCAATTGCAGCTTCTGCCCTCATCCCCTCCCTCCCTGTGCAGCCCCCTCCACTCTGGGGGTGCCTCCGGTGTTCCGGTGTCCAATCAGCCTGGCCAGGGGCTCCCCTGCAAGAGGGAGGGGGGCAGGCAGGAAGGAGAGGGGGGCTCTGGGCCCCAACCGTCCTCTAAGGTTGTGCGCGTACAAGGTTTGTCACCCGTCAGGCAATGGGCCAACACGGGTTTCCTTTTCCCTCTCTGGGTGTCAGTCCTCGTGTGGCCTTTTAGCTCCTCCGGCTCCTCATTCAGTCCGCCCGCTGGGATTAAGCCAACTTACTCTCCCTTAACCTTCCGGGTCTTGAAGGGGAAGCGGAGGCTCAGAACCTGCTCAGGTCCGTATGCTGAGCAGTAAAGAGGCCCACCCCCTCTGCGCATTCTCAGCTCCCAACTGTTCCCAAATCCCCCCTCTCTTTCCAGGTCTCTGCTGTCCTTCCCTCTCAGTTTCTTTTGTTTATGTTGCTTTTGTTTTTGGCACTGGCCGAAATACTTCTCCGCATCCCTCTCCCACAAGGATCAAGATTGCACGGCCTTCCAGCCCTTACCTTGCTTATAGCATCCCAGTTAATGAAACCCAGCTTGGATTTAAAATTCTGCAGAGAAAAAAAAGGAGAAAGGCCGAATTGGGTCATAATGTCATTGGCTCAGGGCTTCAGGCCAGGAGAGGTCAAGGGCCACTGCTGACTGTTGGTTTAGAAAGAGGACTTCAGCCTGTAGGGCCAAGGGACAGGGGTTGGTTTTCCAAACCAGAGGGAGCAGAGCTATCCTGCAGACCTTACCTTCCAGAAAGTGTCAAAGTTGAACGGCCCAGAAGACATCTCAGAGTTCTAAGGAACCAATGAGAATGAGATGCGATTGAGAAGCCACTTTGTGAGCATGAGGCAGGAAATGTTAAGTGTCAGGAGGGGAGGCAAGGACTCTTGACACCACGGCCCCAGCCCAAGGTAGAGTGTTGCCTTCACTCACCACAGTATTGACTCCATTGACAGCTTCACCTCTTACACCGTCCCCACGGGACCCTTGCCCCTGGGTGGGGAAAAGGGGGCCTGATGTTCGAGGCTTACGCGTCCTATCATGCGTGCCGCCTGCCGGCCTGCTCCTGCCCACCTTCGCTCGCCTTTGCTCAAGCTCCCTGTACCCCTCTCTGTGAAGCCACCTTCTCTTCTTCACACGGCACCTAAAATCCCGCCTCAGAAAGCCCTCCTGGATTGACTCGCTACCGTGTGACCCAGTCCCGCGAATCATAGTCACGCCCCTGCTTCCGCCCTCTCCTGTCCCCGAAACACCACTGGTAACGAAAGCCACGCACGTGCAGCGCCACCGCATGCTGGGCACTGAGCCTTTTCCCGCCGTGCTCCTGCGTGGAGTGAGGACACTGAACTCAGGCGTCGAGCCCCAGGACCTGCCTACACCACCTGCACTCCGCACCACCTCGGGTGGTTACAGTACAGAAAGCTCTAGAGTGACCACAGAAAGCGAAGCCCGCAAGTCGGGCTTCCCTGTCCCCGCTTTATCCGGGGAAGCCCAGGCTACAGGGTTTCACTGACTTGCCTGAAGACACACACGTGACACGTGTAAGAGCTGGCGTCGGAACCCTCAACCCCTGACTCAAAGCTCAGTGACTTTCCACTTCCCAACACTGCCTTCTTAAGTATCGTTTTTAGAAATAACCCCCTGACCCTTATTTTTGCTCTCACAACGTTGACATCACTCTGATCCCAACTGGAAGGAGGGAAGGAATGAATGAATTGAAGAGGAAGATGTGGTCTTCTGATGGTCACCAACACAGATTCAGAGCGGGAATTTACGGGAAGAAACTGATATTTCTGTTCCCAGGCCCTTGGCACACTCCACCGGCCCTTGCGAAGCCAACCCTGCCTGCCCCGAGGCTTACCTGCTGACTGCCTTGGGAGCCCCCCAGGAGGTGACTGCTCTCTCTGCTTGCTCCCTAGGAAGACAGAAATGGAGTAGAGTCAGTGGGGACACAGGCAGGCTGGGGCGACAGGGCAGGGTAGCAGGGTGTAGGCGAGGGACTCCTGAGTCAGGAGACTGAGGCATGTGCATCAGAGAGGACTTCCCAGGACCGTGAGAAAGAGGTCCTTCTCTCAGGGTAGCTCCGCCTTCCCTGGCAGACCCTGTTGCAACCCCCTGTGGCTGGAGTTACTGCTCAGTTGCGATGTTTGTGGATAACATCACCGTCTCTGTTTACACTCATTTCTGCACGCTACCCAAAATCCAGCCAGAAGGGCCTTTGCCACCAAAGTATCTGGATTCTCTCCTGGTTTTGAAGCAGGAGCGAGCCAGGCTGCTGGACTGAACTGAGTCAAGCTGAAGGACCCGTCTGGACTGATGTTCGCGTTGGTCGGAAAGGTGACGCTAGCGGGAGAGCCGGCGGGAGCTGAGGTGCACAGCAGACTGCCTGGTCTCCTGCTAGGAGAGAAGTGGCCTCCCCGAGTCCTGCTCTCATCACTGTGTGGAACAGGGGACTCTCAGAGCCCTCGGCTCTCCCTCCTGCCCAGAGCGGGCGGGCGGACCTGGCCGGGATGTAGGACGCTGCCCTGCTAGAATTGCTACCACAGCGTGGGCATCTGTCCCGCTTACTACTGGCACGGTGTCTACCCTCAGGGCCCGCTTGTCCCCTTACCCTCGTGTCACAAAAGCCACCAGAGCCTCCCTGTCCCCTGCTCTGAGGCCCTGAGGGACAAGACAGCAAAATGCACATCCCCGTTTTAGATCCTGAGGCCAGCCCCCAAAGTTAATGTATTGATTGAATACGAATCCTCGAACGATCCTAACGGAATTCTCTTTTGGAACTTGTCAGAATCACTCTGAAATTCATTCAGGAGGACAAAGGTCTAAGAATAGGTAAGAAAACACAGGAAAAGACAAGTGGCGAGGGAGGGCTCGTCCTGACAGATGTTACTATACTATAAAGCTACCGTAAATAAAGCAGTGTGGTCTCTGCCCCAGAATGGATGAATCGGTTCCGCAGAACAGAGCTCCCAGGAGCTCCCCCCGAATATTAAGGCATTTACAAACGGCATTTTCAGTCAGTGGCAGAAGTGATCCCATGCATGGAGCTGGGAATATCGGTTACATATTCGGGGGAAATTACACCTCATCAGTTTCCTCCCTTCTGTCTTTGACTCGTTTCCCCCTCATAAAGGGACACGCAGCTCTGATCCAAAGTGTAGGACCAGACAGGGGCAGGGGTGGGAAGGAGCGGGCACTAGACAGTATACCGCAAAATAAAGTGCAGATGGATTAGAGGTAAATTGAAAAAAATGAGATTATAGAAGTATTCATAGCACTAGAAGAAAATAAAGACCTTTAATACACCAAGAGCAGAAACTAGGGAAAAGATGATATTTTGACTACTTGCATACTTAAGAGTTTGGTATGTAAAAAACTAGAAATAGACTTACAAACTGGGAGAAATTTTCTTAAAACCTATATAAAATGTCCGCATCTCGAATATACGAGGAGCTCTTCAGAGAGCGGCTCAGCTCAGCCCCTCCACCCACCGCCCTCTCCTCCCACTAGGCCTTGCTCCTGGTTAGTGACCAGGACGGGCAGTGTCAGCCTCACCAGAGCTTGTTAGAGACGCCGAATCCCAGCCCCACCCGGACCTGCTGAATCAACCTGCACTTTCACAAGACAGGTGATTCATGGGGACACCGGCTAACTGATTCTGTCAGCGCCACGGTGCTGACACGAAGCCCAGATTTCCAGAATAACTGGGAGGAAATATACCTTCCCAAACACTTCTCTCTGTCTGAGTTCACCGAAGTCTGTCCCCTGACTGGGTACAGGACATTCAAAACGTTTACGTTTC